TCATTCATTTACCAGCAAATGCCGTAATTTCATTCTTTATGGCTGAGTAATACTCCTTTGGGTATATATACCACATTTTCTTTATCCATTCATTTGTTAAAGGACACTTTGGTTTGTTCCATAACTTGGCTATTGTGAATTGTGCTGCTATAAACATCAATGTGGCTATATCCCTATAGTATACAGATTTTTAAATCTTTTGGATATATACTCAGGAGTGGGATAGCTGGGTCATATGTGACTCCATTTCTGTTTTTTTGAGAAATCTCCATACAGCTTTCCTGCGTGGTTACACTAATTTGCAGCCCACCAACAATGTATGAATGTACCTTTTCCCCCACATCCTCGACAACATTTATTATTTGTAATTGATTGCCATTCTGACTGGAGTGAGGTGAAATCTCAATGTGGTTTTGATTTACATTTCCCTGACTGCTGAAGATGTTGATCATTTTTTCATATATTTGTTGGCTAATTGCATTTCTTCTTTTGAGAAGTGTCTGTTTAGTTCTTTTGCCCGTTTATTAATTGGGTTATTTGATTTCATAGTGTCAAATATTTTGAGTTCTTTATATATTCTGGATATAAATGTCCTATGAGAGGAGCAGGTGGCAAAGATCTTCTTCCATTCTGTGGGCTTTCTTTTTATGCTCTTATTCGTTTCTTTTGCTGTGCAGAAGCTTTTTAATTTGATGCCATCCACTTATTGGTTTTTGGTTTTATTTCTTGTACTTTAGAGGTCCTGTTAAGGAAGTCGGTTCCTGTGCCAGCATGTTGGACTGTTGAGCCTACATTTTTATCTAGCAGTTGCAGAATTTGTGTTATAGTTCCTGGGTCTTTAATCCACTTGACTTTCGTGCAGGGTGAGAGATAGGAGTCAAGTTTCATTTTTCTACATAGGGATTTTCATTTTTCCTAACACCATTTGTCTAAAAGGCCATCTTTTCTCCCAAGAAATGTTTTTGGTACCTTTATCTAGTATCAGATAGTTGTATTTATGTGGGTTTATCTCTGTGTCTTCTATTCCCTTGGTCTTGTTTTTTTGTTCTTTTTAAATTTTTATTTATTCTAATTTGTTACACATGGCAGCAGAATGCATTTTGATCTTGGATCACTCTAGTAAAATTAGACAAACTGTTAGGAAATTTTAAAAAACCTTAAGTTAACTAAATTTAAAGAGGTAAATTAGACATCAGAATAATATATTGTATGATTGTAGTACAAGTAAGATTAGAAACATCAAAGTTCTGAATGTGCTAGATAAAGATAAAAAGTCAATGTTTACCACACTTAAATTTCATAATGAAATTATTTTCACTAAACAAAATGGTAAAAAAGTCAGTAACTAAAAATTATTCAAGTTACTTCAAAAGAGATTTTTAGGAAAGATGGTGGACTGAGATGGACATCATTACCCTGAGTACATGTATGAAGACATGAATGGTGTGACTCTACTTTGTGTACAACCAGAGACAGGAAAATCTGTGCTCTATATGCATTGAATCTGTAGAATGCTTTTGATAGTATGGTCATTTTAATAATATTTTGCCTATCCAAGAACATGGAAGGTCTTTCCATCTTCTGAGGTCTTATTCAGTTTCTTTCTTCTGTGTTCAATAGTTTTTATTGTAGAGTTCTTTGACATTCTTTGTGCGATTTATTTCCATTTTTTTGAGGTTATTATAATTGGGATATTTTTCCTAATTTCTTTTTCAGCAGGTTTGTTATTGGAGTATAGGGAAGTGATTGATTTATGTATGTTAAGTTGATTTATGTATGTATTTTTATATCTGCTCCTTTACCTTTTTTTTGTTGGAGTATACTAGGGATTGAACTCGGGGTACTCAACCACTGAGTCACATCCCCAGCCCTATTTTGTATTTTACTTAGGAAAACGTTGTCACTGAGTTGCTTAGTGCCTCCCTTTTCCTGAAGCTGACTTTGAACTTGCGATCCTTGTGCCTCAGCCTCTTCAGCGCTGGGATTTCAGGCATATGCCACTGCCCCCGGCTACTTTACCAAATTTGGTTTTCAACTCTAGAAGTCTTCTAGCGGAATTTTTGGAGTCTTCTAAATATAGGCTCATGTCATTGGCAAACAGATAATTTGAGCTCTTCTTTTCCTGTTGTAGCCCTTTAATTCCCTTCTTCTGCTTGATTGACCTGGCTGGGTTTTAGGACTTTGTTGAGTAGGAGTGGTGAGAGTGGGCATCCTTCTCTTGTTTCTGTTTTCAGAGAATATGTTTGTAGTTTTTCTTCATTCAGTATGCTGTTGGCTTGGGGTTTGTCATATACATCCTTTACAATGTTGAAGTGCTTACTTTTATCTCTAGTACCTGTTGTTTAAACATGAATGGGTGTTGCACTTTGCCAAATTCTTTTTCTGCATCTATTGAGATAATCATGTGATTCTCATCCTTAAGGCTATTTATATGGGGAATTATATTTATTGACCCAACCTTGCATCCCTGGGACAAAACCCACTTGATCATGATGCAATATCTGTGTGTGTGTGAATATGTGTGTGTGTGTGTGTGTGTGTGTGTGTGTGTTTGGTAGCAGGGATTGAATGCAAGGGCACTTAACCACTGAGCCACATACTCAGCCCTATTTGTTTGTTTGTTTTGAGACAGAGTCTCACTAGGTTGCTTATAGCCTCATTAAGTTGCTGAGGCTGGCATCAAACCTGTGATAGTTCCGTCTCAGTCCCGAGTTGCTGGAATTACAGGCATGCACCACCAAGCCCAGCTTTTAGTGTGTGCTTTTTTTTAATATTTATTTTTTAGTTATAGGTGGATACAATATCTTCACTATATGTTTCATGTGGTGCTGAGGATCCAAACCAGTGCCTCACGCACGTAGGCGAGTGCTCTACCTCTGAGCCACCACCCCAGCCCCTTAATGTGTTTTTGTATTCAGTTTGCCAATATTTTATTAAGATTTTTTGCATCTGTGTTCATCAAGGATATTGATCTGAAGTGTTCTTTCCTTGATGTGTCTTTGTCTGTTTGACAGTGTACCCTGCTTTTTTATTTCATGGAATAATTTGAAGAGGATTAGTCAATTCTTCTTCTTTTTTTTAAATATACTTTTTAGTTGTAGGTAGACACAATACCTTTAATTAATTATTTTTAATGTGGTGCTGAGGATCGAACCCAGTGCCTCATACCTGCTAGGCCAGCACTGTACCCCGGAGCTGCAGGCCCAGCCCATCAATTACCTCTTTTTTAAAGACCTGATAGAACTTGGCTAAGAATCCATCCAGTCTTGGACTTTTTTTGGAGGGCTTTTGCTATCTCCTTCAATTTTATTTCTTGTTATTGATCTGTTTAAGTTTTCTATATCCTCATGGTTCAATTTGTGTAAGGAAGCTCTATCTCTCTAGGAAACTGTCAATATCTTCAAGATCTTATAGTTTATTGGAGTATGAATTTTTAAAATAGTTTCTGATGATCTTGTGGATTCAGTATAGTGTCTGTGGTGTATTTTCTTTTTCATCTCTGATTTTATTCGTTTGACTCTTCTCTCTTCTTATTTTGGTTAATTTGACTAGCGGTTTATCAGTCTTGTTTGTCCTTTCAAGAAACTGTTTCATTGATCGTGTGTGTGTGTGTGTGTGTGTTTAAATTCTCTATTTCATTTATTTTGGTACTGGTTTTAATTATTTTCTGTTGATTTTGGTTTAATTTTTTCTTTTTCTAAGGTCTTGATATATAGTATTAGATTATTTGGTATCTTTCTAGTTTCTAATGTACAAACTCAGTGCTGTAAATTTTCCTCTTAGAATTGCTTTTATACAGTCCCAGAGATTTTGATATATCATTATTTCCATTTGTTTATATGATTTTTTAAAAAAAATTTCTCCCTTGATTTCTTCTGCCATCCATTCATCATTCAAAAGTGTATTATTATTTAGTGTCCAGGTGTTAGAGTGGTTTCTGTTTTTTAACTTATTATTGATTTCTAACCTTATTATAAAAAAATAAAAAACATTAGAATTTTAAAAATAAAATAAAAAGGAATAGGGATGTGGCTCAGAGGTAGAGTGCCTCTTCAGTCAAATCCAAAGTCCCTACTCTACGCGTTTATTTGAAAAGGTGAATGTTTTACTTTTGTCTTTTCTTTTGGCTGTCAATTAAAAATATCAGTGTAGTTTTTGTAACTCACTTCTCAAAGTGAGAGTTTGTTATTGTATGATTTAATGTTTTTGTTTTTACCTTCCCAGGTAGGTACTTATAAAAAGCTTAGTCTAATTGATTGCTTAGTAGATACTTGATAGTCTCGTTTTATTTATAGGTACTATATTACTTCAACTTATGTAACTAATATGAAGCTGCAAATGCATTAGAGAAGTTCTATAAAATAGGATTATTGTACAAAGCTTTCAAAATGCAGATATTACCTTTTATATTATGGAATATTCAATGTATATATATAGTTTTCCTAAAATGGAAATGTACTTTTAGTACATTTAGTACTTGAGATGTACTTTTGTCTTGATACTTAACATTAATTTCTAAAATTTGCACCCTTTTAAATGTCATGTTGGGTTTTTAGGGGGAAAGGGTGAAAACAGGATGGTTGGGGCAGGGTCAGTGCATACTGTATACATGTATAGAAATACACTGAATACCAGTATAAATGTGCAGCTGCAATGTTATTAAGTCAATGGACAAATGAAATAAAATGGTATAGATTCTTAGAGGGGAAAGGTGATTTCATTACAAGTCAGTATGGTGTGGCCAGATTTTCGATTTGTGAATGCTAGCATGTTATTAGAACCGTTTTAGATCCTCAGTGGCTGGCCCACCGTGAGGATTGCATTTTACATGTAGTCCATGCTGTGTTCAGACTCAAGTGAGTGTGTGCAGTTTGATTGCTCTGCCTGAAAAAATGTTGTATGTAAATCCTGTAATAATAGGATTAGCATGGGTAAATTAACAGTAACAACAACAAAGCTCAAACAAAAAAAGCAAACTGAATTTCCTTTATGCCCCACAGATGTATCTTGTGATTTTTCCAGAGGGAACAAGGTATAATCCAGGACAGACAAAGCTCCTTTCGGCTAGCCAGACATTTGCTGTTCAACAAGGTAAGTAAAAGGTTAACTGTGTTTGAAAAATAACTTTTTAAAGAGAAAGATCCTTTTAGTTTTTCTTCCTGGAGAAGGTATGTTTTATGATTGAATGAAGTAATGTATCATCTCTGAGGAAATGAGGTTTCTCCTAAATTCATTGGCATGTTATTTCATATGTCTAAGATATTATATTCAGGTACTTTGGATTTAGTTAAAAATCTAAGTACATGGGCAAGTAAGTGTAATTTTTTTCCTACTGAGTGGGTTATGGGTCATGGAAATAACTTCTGTCTTGTAGGTTTACAGATGAGAGGCAGAAGCCACACTCTGACTTTGATTAGCTATGTGAGTACATGTTGCCTAATGTTACCAAACACCAGTTTCTTATTTCTAAAATACATAGATATATTTGTGTAAGCCCCACATTTGTGTAGGAATCAGATTAGAATATGTATGAAGTTTCCCTTGGAGAGTATTTCTGAAAGTTGGTTCATAGCTCTTAGAAGCTGTAATGTTCCCCAACAACAGGAATGTTCTTCCTAACTCATTGTGTCCATCATCCTGCGTATAGGACACCTATAAAAATGCACACCGTTGTGTAGGACACCTATAAAAGTGCTCAGTAAGTTTTTGTCGGTGTCCTGTATATAGGATGATGGGATATCAAGGATTAAAGTCCATTTTAGAAAATTGGATAACTAATACACCAGTAAGCTACACAGTTTAACCAAATTGGGAATTCTGCAGACAACAGTAGTTCTGCTGTGTTCTCAGAAGTGTCTTTGAAGGTTGAATCAGTGTGAGCTCTCCTGTGTGGCCAGTGAGGCATGACTGAGCATCTGCTGGTCATGTCACTCCAGGAACATGACAGTGCCATAGAAGAGAGCTTTCTGCAACGACGGTGACACACTCTGTCTGCTCTGTCCAGTGTACTTCCGCAGCCTGCATGTGGTTTCTGCATGTGGCCAGTGCATCAGAGGAAAGGAAGTCTTCATTTTATTTGATTTTACTTTAATTGACATTCTAAATTTTGTTTAATTTACATTTAAGCAGACACATGTTGCTAGTGGAAGATCTATGATAGCACAGGTTTGTGGGATGCAAAAAACTTTAGATTTTTACTAGATCCACAGCACTTGAATTTAATCTCTGGCAGATATAATATGCAAACAAATTAAGAGAAACCTCTTTTCCTAAGAATGGAACTTTCATTCATTCAGTATGTATGAATATGCATGTGTATGTGAAATCTCTTATAACGATGCATTTTTAAAATGCTAGTGTATTTTACACACCCTGGTTTACACACCCCGTTCCCAAGCAGTGGGTCAGGAACAGGAGAGTCCTGTGAAGGCTTGGCTTTTACTGCCTTCTCTGGCTAGTCTGGACACCATGGGCTGTCTTTTCACTTGTTCTCTTGCGATACCATCGTCTCTGTTGACTTTTTCACATTGAAAAAGTAAAATAAAAACCTCCTCCCTCTGCTCACGTTCTCCTCCTTCTGGCACCCTCTTCTCCTTTCCTTAAAGCCCGGGCCTCTGAGTCCTTCTTCCCACCTTCTCACTCACCTCTCAGCCCCCGGGGATGGTTTACGACATTCATGGTACTTTCTGATTCCCATTCCCTGCGCTCCTGTCGGTTGTCCTTTGTGTTCCTGCATGTGTTCATCTCCTTCTGTCCCACTCGTCTTCATTCTCTCCTGTCTCACACACTGTTTCCACCATCTGAATTGGACCTCTCATTCTTTTCACTTTTTTTATTTTTATTTTTTCTCTTTTTTTTTATTATTAGTTGTTCAGACCATTACAAAGCTCTTGACATATCATATTTCATACATTTGATTCAAGCAGATTATGAACTCCCATTTTTACCCCGTATACATATTGCAGATTCACATCGGTTCCACATCCACTTTTTTACATATTGTCATACTAGTGTCTGTTGCATTCTGCTGCCTTTCCTATCCTCTACTATCCCCCTCTTTTCACTTTTTATTTTTCTCATAATTGTCTAAATTCATGACCTCAGCCATCATTTGTTTAGTGCTGATGATTCACAAAAAGCTTTCTCCTTTTTATTTCTCTCTAATTCTAGTCCTGTATGTACAGTTGCCCATTAGAGAGCTTCACTTGACGGGTCCAGAGCTGCGTCTCAGAGTCAGTATGCTGAAGGTGTGTTACCCCTCACACACACACTCACGTTTCCTGCCCTCGTGACTCAGCCGCTCAGTGCAAAACCAGACTCATCCTCAACGCTTCCCTTTCTCCAAGCAAACATCTAATAGATCAGCAAAGTCTAGTTTCTCTCTATGCCCATAATTACGCTGTACTTTAAAATCTCTTTCAGATATCTGTTGTTAGGTGACAAACCATCCAAGAGCTTAGTAACTCCAAACAGTAACACCTGTTTATTGCTCATAATCTGTGCCTTGTGCAAGGCTCGGCAAGGTCAGCTCATCTCTATCCACGGAGTCAGCTGTGGTCTCTTATTTCACTTCAGAAAATGGGTGGAAAGTCCAAGATGACTTTGCCAGCCTGTCTTATATCATACTTGTTATGTCTGTATTGGCCAGGAGTAACTGGGCCTCTTTCTTCAATTTTCAGCTTTTCTTCATGATATTTATCAAGTTTCACTCTTTTGCTAGTATTTGTGCCTAGATGAACATCAGCACTAGCTTTGGGCTTTTCCTAAGCACATATTAGTCACATATCCTTGGACAAGTTTATTTCTTTCAGTTTCTTTCTTTACTTGTAAAGCAGCAGTAGTAGTAATATGGCTTTTGTGAGTGACACAGTATTTATACAAAGACTCATATGTGATAAGTAAAGTCGTCGCTGCTAACTTTAGAAGATAGAGAGAAGGGAGCAGTACAGGTAAATCTATTGGTGATACCAAACACTGGTAGCTGGTCCTGAGGGACAAAACAGAAGGACTCACAATTTCATTCTGCTACGTATGGATTTCCAGTTTTTCCAGCACCACTTGTTGAAGAGGCCATCTTTTCTCCAGGGCATGTTAATGGCGCCTTTGTCTAGAGTGTGCTAACTGTGTTCACGTGGGTTGGCCTCTGTGTCTCTGTTCTGCTGCGTTGCTCTCCATGTCTGCTCTGGTGCCAGTGCCTGCTGTTTTTGTTTTTGCAGCTCTGTAGTGTGATCTAAGGCCTGGTATTGTGATGCCTCTTGCTTTACTTTTCTCACTGAGGATTTCTTTGGCTATTCTGGGCTTCTTATTTTTCCAAATGTATTTCATGATTGCTTTTCTAGTTCTATGAAGAATGCTGTTGGAATTTTTTTTTAAAAGCTTTGTTTTTGTTTCTGTTTTTTTGTGGTGCTGTAGATCGAACCCTGTGCCTCACACATGCTAGGCAAGTGCTCTGCCACTGAGCTACAACTGTAGCCCCATGTCATTGGAGTTTTAATAGGAATTGCATTAAATCTGTAGAGCACTTTTGATAGTATGGCCTTTATGATGATATTAATTCTGCCTATCCAAGATCATGGGAGATCTTTCCATCTTCTAAGGTCTTTAATTTTTTTTCTTTAGTGTTACATATTTTTCATTGTAGAGGTCTTTCACCTCTTTTCTTAGATTGATTGCCATGTTTTATTTTTTATTTTTGAGCCTATTGTGAATGGGATAGTTTCCCTAATTTCTCTTTCAGCTGATTCATCTTTGATGTATAGGAACACAGTTGAATTATGGGTGTTAGTTTTATATCCTGCTACTTTGCTGAATTCATTTACGAGTTCTAGAAGTTGTCTGGTGAAGTTTTTTGAGTCTTCTGAATATAGGATCATGTCACAGCAAATAGGGATAGTTTGAGCTCTTATATGAACTATTTGTATCCCTTTAACTTCTTTCTTTGGCCTAATTGCTCCTGGCTAGTGTTTCAAGGACTGCGTTGAATAGAAGTCGTGGAAGAGGGCATCCCTGTCTTGTTCCTGTTTTTAGAGGGAATGCTTTCATTTTTTCTCCATTTAAAGGATGTTGGCCTGGGGTTCACTGTACATTGTGAAGAGAGAGCCTACAGAATGGGAGAAAATCTTTGCTGCCTGCACCTCAGATAGAGCATTAATCTCTAGGATATATAAAGAACTCTAAAACTTAATACCAAAAGACAAATAACCCAATCAATAAATGGGCAAAGGAACTAAACAGATACTTCATAGAAGTGAATACAAATGGTCAACAAATATTTGAAAAAATATTCAGCATCTCTAGCAATTAGAGAAATGCAAATTAAAACTACACTGAGATTTCATCTCATTCCAATTAGAATGGAACAGTCAAGAATACAAGTAACAATAAATGTTTGTGAGGATGTGGGGAAAAGGGTACATAATACATTGTTGGTAGAACTGCAAATTGGTACAATCACTCGGGAAAACAGTATGGAAATTCCTCAAGAAAACTTGTTATGGGGCTGGGCGCGATGGCACACACCTGTAATCCCAGTGGCTCAGGAGGCTAAGGCAGGAAGATCATGAGTTCAAAGCCAGCCTCAGGAAAAGTTAGGTGCTAAGCAACTCAGTGAGATCCTGTCTCTAAATAAAATACAAAATAGGACTGGGGATGTGGCTCAGTGGTCAAGTGCCCTGGAGTTCTATTGCTGGTATGTGCTCCCATTCTGCACCCCAAAACAACCCTTATAAGGAACCATCATTTGACCCAATTCTCTTACTCTAAGGTGTATATCCAAAGGACTTAAAATCAGCATACTACAGTGACACATATAGCAGCTCAATTCACAATAGGTAAGCTATGAACCAACCTAGGTCCCTTCAGCAGGTTAGTGGATAAAGAGAATATGATGTATACACAATGAAATATTAACCAGCCATAAAAAAGGATGACTTTATGACATTTGCTGAGAAATAGATGGATCTGGACACTATTATGATAAGTGAAATAAGCTAATCCCTGAAAAACCAAAGGTTGAATATTCTGTCTATGGATGCTCACATACAGTAAGCGTTGGGGAGGAAGAATAGAAGTTCAGTAGATTAGACAAAGGG